ACGTCATCATTTACCCAGAATGCTTTGTGTGTAAATAAAATGGTTCTGTCTGTGTAATATATTTTTAAACTTTTAGTTTAAAAATTATAAAAACTGAACATCCTACAGTACCTTTACAGTCTTTATTTTACAGTTAGAATAAATGTTTATTAAATAAAGTCCAATGTTAGAACTAATCATGGATCCCTTTAAAGCTTATACCAGCTTTCTTTTACCTTATTCTTGTGAAAGAAACCAGTTGAATTTCACACCGTACCTGGACATGGGCAGTATCGTCCTCTCCTCATGGTAGTCACTGTCACACTCGTTTATGTACTCCTTGAGCACCGTGAGAACTCGCACCATACGGATGGCCTCCTGCCGTGCACAATTAATGCTGTCTTTGTCTCCGTCCAGCACACACAGCGTGTCGTAGGACGCCTTCAGACGGTCAAAACATGACTGAATGAAATCTTCATGAATCTCAACCTGAAGGGAGAAGAAACAGGTGAAGACAGYTTTTCAACCATCACTCATTATGCAGACATTTACCTGTTTAACAGACAAAACTGCAAAGATCCCTGTACCTGGTTGACTTGTAGTTTTGGTCCGAGGTTGGTGTAGATCTCTTTCAATAGGTCTATGGCTCGGCTAGCAATGTCATCACTTCCTTGAATCACAACCTGGATAAAAAGTAAAAGACCTGCTATCAGATTCAGACCTGCCATATTGTTGTCATTTTTTATAGATGTTTGAAGCAATGGACAATGATTAAACGCAACTTTACAGGTAACACTTGGACAAAGAATGACTCAAAAATATATAAATATGAAAGTTAAATTTCAAATATTTAGGGGAAGTGGAGATTTTGCCTTAATAAAATATATATGCGCACCGATACAGCTGTCAACTTTTTTCACTTCACACTTGTAGCAAAATACATATTCATATAAATATGATTATTTATATAAATATTAGGGGTGCAACAATACATGTACCYGTATCGAACCGTACCAAACAGTGCTGTATGGAACAATACAGATTTTTAAAATTTACTTTATCAACTTGTCTTCTGAAGATGCTCTGTGTTGAAGGATCAGTGGATCTGTGTTCGACTACTCCACCTAGGCTGCATTTTTGAGCACAGATCCACTGAGAAACTTGCTGTTTCAGCAACATTTAATTAAAAAACTAATTTTGAGGTTAAACAAATGTTCATAATTAATTTAAATAAATTACAAGTTAAAAGGGGCATGGAAATGTCTCGTTTTTGTATCGAAAAAATATCGAACCGTGAGACTTAACTATCGAACCGAACTGTGAATTTCCTGTATCGTTGCACCCCTAATAAATACATGTATACAAATATACAAGTCCTTTTAATAATCAGCCWTTCACAAAAGTCTTTCTTTTATTTGCAAATTGTGCTCAATTTGATTTTTTGAATTTGATTTTTTTTTCTTCTAAGACAATTTGGTAGAAAAGAAATGCTGAAACATTTGTCTGAGTGACTAACACAACTGCCCTCCTCACCCTCCACAGATAGTCCAAGCCGATTAGTTCCAGGTCATCCATCATGTAGGCCCTGCGTTTTGCTACTAGCTTCCCCGCCCTGCAGTTGACAGCCTTGAAGAACCTCTCAAAGCATTTCATGCCATTTTCCGTAAGCAGAGACGGGTCCAACTGTAAAACATTGTTCTCAAAGAAGTCCTTATTGATGTCTGGATCTAGGTCTGGCTCATCCCCCATCAGTTTTGAGTACCTATGAAATAAAACAAGAAGGAAAATATATAATAAAATGAAATTTAGAAAATGTTGATGGACTGACAAAGGTTAAGAACAGGTCAGAAATGGAGAAGTACCATTTGAAGCAGGCCTCGCGGTCACACAGAAACACTGCATTCTCAGCYAGACACTTCCAGATCTGCTTAGCCTGAGGGGCACACAGCCACAGCTGGCCATCTTTCAACAGAAACCTAAAAATAAAACAGTACAATCAATAGTGGAAAGTAATGAATAGATGGTCAAAATGAAGCTAACATTTGGTCAAAACAAGTGTGTGAAAAGCCAAGACTGTAACTGAATTAAAGCTTTTTATATGCATCTTTTTAAATTCCTGCATGTGCTCTCATTTCACCGCAGGACAGTTACAGTGACATACCTCAGGAAGTTCAGTCGTTCCTGTACTTCCTGGACGTGACTGTAGCGACTTCCTGGTCTGACGGTCTGAGGATCAAATTCTGCTTGTTCTTCTGGAAAAGCACATAAACTACGTTAGACTACAGACACCACACACATCTCATCTAAGGCTACGTTCACACTGCAGGTCTTAATGCTCAGTTCTGACTTTTGAAACAGATTTTTTGGCAGGGACGTTCACACATTTTAAATGCGACCTCCATCAGACTCCAGTGTGAACTATCCACGGCACAGAAAAAGATGTGACGTCACATTCAGCCGCTGTTTGTTTACAGAGTTAGTAGGGCTGTGTATTGGCAAGAATTTGGCGATATGATACATATCATGACAGAGGGGTCACGATACGATATATCCCGATATATTTCGAGACTGTAAACAAGGCGATATACTGTATTGCGATATTTTTGTTCCAAAAATTCTTTTAAATAAAAACCTCTTAGTGGGGGAAAAAAAAAAACTAAAAACCAAAATTCATTGTCTCAGAAAATTCTAACATTACATAGACATACTTTTGATACATTTAGCTGTGTTCTGCTTTGTATGTATTTTATTTTATTTGTTTCATATT